CTACGAGCTTCGGCGGAGCGGAGGCGGGACAGGACCCAGGCCCGCCACGCTCCCCGCTGCCCTCTCGTCCTCTCCACCTCCGCCTCCTCCCAGCCCCGCCCCCTTTCCCACCTGGATTCCGGATAGACTTGCCAACTCACTGCTACGTGGGGCTGCGAGGGGTGGGGGGACTGATCCGACCTGATCGTTCCCGCAGACGTTTTGATACTCCACCTCCCTTGCAGCTAGGCTTTTGCAGGCGGCGTGTTCCGCACTCCGCATGCAGAGGGAGAGGTGCTTCCTCTCGCAGGGCGCGGGCGCAGGTATGGCGGGGCCTCCGGCACACGCTGCCCCGGGGGCTGGATTCCTTAACAGACCGCAGTCCACCCCCACCCGGGCGCTCGAAACCTACCTCTCTTCCTCCTCCCCCGCGCCCAAGACACAAGCCGCTCCTGGACTATGCTCCGGGGCCAGCCATGCCCTGCACGGCCCGTGGGCACCCACCCTGACCCTGAGTGAGAGCCAAGGTGGGACCCCTAGCCCCTGCTAAAGGTCAGCGTGATGCCAGGGTGCGCGAGATTGCACCTTGCGGGCAAGCCGGGTCCTGGGCCAAAGCTAAGCCGAGGCTGGAGCCCAAGTGGGATCAAGAAGACGCCTGTCTTCTGCACTCTGGACACCCCCTTACCCCAACTCCCTCGACAGGGAAGGGGCTTATTCTCGGGTTCCTGCCACACACACCCTCCCCGACGCCTAAAGGCTCAGGAATCAAGGTTTGCCCATTGGAAAGGTCACTGCTACCCCCTTTGAACCTAGCACCTCCTCGACCGCACGTCCCAGCCCTCCCGGGTAGCCCTCCGAGGTCACCCGGAGCCCGGCGTCCGACACAAGGCTGCAAGGGTCCAAAGTTCACTGCGGGGAGAGGAGGGGGCCGTCAAGAGGTGGGGTGGGGGAATGAATGAAGAGAACAAGCCCCAGCCACAGTCGTAACTCACCTCGGCGCTGACCAGACGCAGGTAGCAGCAGAGAGACAGGAAGAGCGCCCAGCAGCGCTTCATGCCGACTCCGGGCCCGGCCCCGCGGGGCCCCGGACGTGTAGACGGAGCGCGCCGCCCCCGCGGCCAGGGTGGG